GCCTTTCCCTCCATGTCTTTCCCTCTCTGCCACACACAGTGGTGCACAGGCCTGTGCTGTTGCACTCTGCCTTGCCTCACCACAACACCTCCTACCTCTGTCAGAGAGATGACTTTCCTTCTCCAGTTCTCCAGGGCTACAACTAACATTTTTCTTTGTTGCTGTACACAGTACAGCATGAACAGGCTCTGCCTAGGAGTGAAGTACTCTTCTGTATCTCACATTAGACTGGAACTGGCCTGAAAATAGGGATAAATATCCCTTCCAACAGCTATGCTTCACTCTTAAACAAGTCTCCCCTCTTGCAATTACAGGATAAGACTTGTCAGTATCTTTAGCTGCCATGGAGTTTAATCACTGAGTGCATACACGATTTGTGCATGTTAATTTTATTAATTTCATGCATGTATCAAGTTACTCATGTCCTCTTGCCCAGTTTCCAGGGTTTACCTCAAAGGGGCCTGTGGAAGGGAACAGGGAGGGAAACAATAGGGCATAAATAAGAAAGCCCAAATCGAGTAAGAGCACACTAAAAATTCCAAGGAAAACACTAAAGAAGAAAATGGGGAATTGTTGGCAGGGAATAATGTCCTTCCTGGTACCCCAGTGGGTCTTATTCTTTTCAGACAGACATATCACAATCAACTTAATCCAATTTAAGTTGCATCTGCAACCAGTCTTCCACATGACCATCTACACATTTCACCAGCCCTCAGTGATGCCTGCCTCACCAAGAGAAGCAATATGAAGAGTTCATCCCACTGAAACCTTTATTTAGGTAGGGGACTGGGTTAGTTTTCAATGGGGCCAGTTCCTGAGCAGCCAAATGAGTGTTTGTGCTGGTGCTTTTTAGGCAGTAGAAGTACAAAGCTGGTGGTGGTGGAAGAGAGGAGGCAGGACAGCTCCTTTGAGCAGCTTAGACTCATCCCAAAGATGCCATGTCAAAGTGCACTTTCCCAGTTTCTCTAACCTGATATAAATGAAGGCCAGCTGCTGAGAACAGCACACTCTCTCCCTCTGCTCACAGCTCTTCTGTCTTCACTTTTACAGCAGGGTAAAAGTCCCCGGCTTGGTGTGGGCCAGCTGTGCATCGGCACCTGCCCAAGGGTTGTGGGAGGTGAGCATGGTCAGAGCAGAGTTCCTCTTCCTTCAAAGCAGCTCACCAATGGATCAGCTTAGAAGCATGGCTAAACTCTGTTCCATGCAGCAAGCCTGTCCTGAAAGGTGATGTTACCATTTTTTAAGGGGGAAAGCAAGTGGATGACTTGTCAGCAGCTTTCCAAAAGAAGATGATGATTTAGAGGCACAGAAACTGAAAGAAGCAGATTAACTTCTCTGTCCCAGAGCCTGAGGTAATGGAATTGAAGAGAACCCAGAAGGCTTGTAAAGAAAGCTTCAGATTTATACAAAAGGAAAGTTTATGAAATAGTATAACTAATCAGGTATGAGCAATCATGGGAGAAGGAACAGGAGAGAATTTTCTTGCAGTAGAAGATTTTAAATTAGGGTCACTTCTGGTTAAGCCTTATTTCATGTTTAGCACAGTAATTTCAACAAGTTCCTACTGAGGACAAAGGCTTGGCAGAAAGATGGGAATCTTCTACCTCAACTACTTCAAGAATATCCAAAATTTTCTGTAGTGCAGCTTTGCTTCATAATGGATTTGTGGAAACAAACAGCAGAGCTCAGTTTCTTAGTAACTGCAGATCAGGGATACTGAGCTCACCTTTCCTTCTTATTTACAGCCTCACCAACACAATTTGGGCTCTGACTATTTGGCTGGACTCTCTCCAACTCATCCCTCCTCACCAGGATAAAGGGACTGCAGGCCAAATTTCGCTCACAGAGCACCTGTGCCTTCCATATGCTTGAATAGGTGTATCTATATAATAACAGCTTTTCTGGGAAACGTACAGTAGGTTCCAGGTCTCTCTCTCTGATATTGGATACACACAGGCAGCAGGCCTGTTATGTAAGAAAAGGCCAGATTACACAAACAATTTTCCACTTTCAAAGAGATTCAATCTGCCTTTCCAGTTCAACTCAGGCTGCTCATTCAGGTGGCAAGTGTGGACAGGAAGACCTGCTCTCTCTAGTCAGACTCCTAGCAACTAGCTCTTTTGGATTGTAGAGAGGTATGGAAAATAGCCTTTTTCTTTCTTTTAGGAAAAGGCTGAAATTTTATTATTCACAGAATGTTAAGCCATTTATGAAAAAAAAATTACAGGATTTAGTAAGCTGGAAGGTTTTTACAGAGAGTGGTGCTCAAACCAGTCTGCATTCACAGAGAATGAGGCTCTCTACAGGTTTCTAAGACAGCAGGTTATGGAACTATACAGCAGGGTATAATTCTTTATCCCAATTCCACAGAGACTAGAAGAATCTACAGATTTTCTCTTCCTATTGGACTCCACAGAATTTTCTATATGGTCAATTTTTGTCACACTTTTCCTTATGTAGATAACTCCCTGTCACTGCTTTCCATGGAGATAAGGTGTATCTTTTAGACATCAATCAGACATCTTAGTAAATGTACCACATGTCCATATTAAAGAAAAAGAAGCCCTGGACAAGTTGACCCACTTGTCCCAGTCCTGTAAACAACACAAAAGGATCATTAGAAGCTACTCTGAAGGTTACTGTAAACATCCAGATTGGTCCTGGAGAGGCACATGGGAACAAAATGGTTTGGAGAAAGGAACAACAAGCCACCCGAACCTCCCACAAAGGTACACACCCAAGCATTTTTGTGTCCCTGAAGACCTTTTGAAAAAGAAATAAAAAATAGCTTTAAACTTACTCATTTACTCATCTGCTGAAGAGCTCTTGGCACTTGCCCCATCTCCCTTTTCTGGCTAGTGTGATTTCCCAGGCCCTGCTCCACAGCTGGACCCAAGCCAGTTCAGGACAATGAGCTACCACTGGCCCTGCAAGAGCTATAGGAGATCATTTTTATCAAGCCTTGCTGCCCAGGGGAGTTAGTACCTGAATGTGTAAACACCTTTGAAGAGATATTGAAAGCTCATCATTCAGGAGAAGAGTGACCTCCTTAGAAAGACGGAAGCAAGGCCAAGCAAACATGTAAAAAAAAAATGGGTCACAAAAACTTTTCTCTCTTACCTACACCAAATTACCAGTGTAACTTAAACATCCCAGAGGTCTTTCATTTAGAGATGCAATGGAGAAGGAAGACAGATCTGCTTGAAGTGGACTTGGCTGGAAAGACCTGGGTATTGAAAAAGGAGTCCCTCTTTCTGCAGCTGCCTATGTCAGTGGTAAAAAGCTGACTGCGGTAAAGTTCTTCCTGAGAGTCCCATTCCTACTTTTCACAATTCCTGGACATCATTTGCTTTGCTTGCCAGGAGCTGTCTGAACTCTGAGACTTGATGATATTCCTTCAGTCACATTTTGTTTGCCTTAGACATTCTTCCCTGAAAATATGCAGGAACTGAACCTGAAGCAGGAAAGAAGCATGTACCACTCTCCTGTCATCCAAAAAACACACCAAGCCTGAAGAGGAGGCAAAGAAGAGACAAACGTATCATGAATTAAACAGAGAAAATATGAGTCAGAGTAAGTGAGAAAGAGCTGCTCCTGGAACAGTATGGCAGTGTCCAGGCAAGTTCCTTTCTCTAGCTCATCAGATCCAGCATCTGATCTACACCCATGCTCTGCTGATGATTCCTTGCAAGAGGTTTTGCAATTAAAACTCAGCACTTAGGTAATCTCTGCTGGTTCTGTTCAGTCCTCCAGCAAAATCAATAACCTTATACAATTTTTGCTTTTGTCCCTGTTTATTTTCTGGCAAGACCTGAAAGTGAAACAATTTCCTTTCAAATCATCTCCCTCCCAAAAGGAGGTCTGTAAAAAATTGGCAAGGAATTGCAAGAGACCAAATTCCCCCTAATCAGAGAATCATGATTTTTTAAACAAAAAGTATAGCCCGTACAAATAGGGGAAACTCCTGAAATCAGCTTTCTCCGCACCTAAAAAAGAGATGGGAGGGTAAAACAAACCGACCAAGTACTGAGCATTATTTACACTGCTTGGGGGTAGGAAAACAAAAGAAGAAAACATAGGCAGGAAGAAGAAAAAGACAAATAGGAGGAGAAAATTTCCTCTCTTTTCATCCAGCTATATTTGGCACTGCAGGAGTGGCAGAAATGGGAAAGGTGCAGTATTTCTGTTAAGTCATGACTGGAGTACAGGCCCTTCCCATTACTAACTGCTTTGTTATGAACACTTATCCAGCATATAAAAAGGTTTAAAAAAAGCGCAAAAACTGAAAACTCTCATGTAAACTAGGTATCTGTGATCTCATGGCTGTACACACTGTTCCTGGACCTGCTGCCTACTCTCTAGGTCTCCCCATTCTGCTGGCAAGGAAAAGACAGAAGGACACAGCAGCAGCACCAAGATGGGCATGTCCTCAAGCCCCCTGCAAGAGTCAGCTTTTTATGTCTGTCTCCATAGCTGAAAATGTCCTTTCCACTGGCTTCCAGTGCCCACTGCCAAAAGGACACACAACTCTTGCCAGCTCCTGGGAAGGCAGAAATGCCAAAGAGAGAAACAAGTAAGTGAAAGACACCAAAGCACGAATATCTGAGAGCAGGGTTAGAATTGTATCTGCACCCATCCTTCCATGCCACATTAGAACCGTGCCCACAGAGCCCACAGAGCAGCACAGCCCGGGCCCAGGGAGCACAGCTGTATCCATCAAACCTACAGCTTTGTATCAAGGTGCTACTGAGGGTCTGGTTACACAGCACATCTTTCATGGCCTGATCCTCTGCATCAGCCACAATCCCAGCGCTAGCGCAATCTAGATCTGCAAAGCCACATCTTCATTTTAAACCAGTTTATATTCATATATTCTACGAAATAGAAGGGGGCCATGTCCACAGAGCAACATCCATTCTGCCAAGATGAATTCTAGCCACAAAGCTGCTCCCTACACCAAGCCTGTCTCATCAGCCACATCCCCAGTACCAGAAGAGTTTGTATCCACAGCCAAGACTTTGTATTAAAAAGATTTAGAAATTATTTACCAATCCAGATCTCTCCAAGCACATCACATGTTGCCCAGAGCAATGAAAATCCAAAATATGTGTCCATGGGGGAGGGGGAAGAAAAGGTTTTTATGTGTCAATCACTTTGAGATTTTCCTCATTTAAAAAAATAATTAAATGTCAGGAATGGAAGGTGTGTCTGCTTGGAAATATGGGGAGCTGGAGAGAAGAATCCCTGTAATTGCATTCCTTGCCACCCCTCTCTTTGTTCAGCAATGATGAGAACTTCACAGAAAGCATCAGTTGTTTGTTTCTCCCTCTTCCTCATCAAAGGACTGCACCCCGGAGGAGGTGACATCTGAGACTTTGCGGCTCAGTGCAGCATGCTCCATCTCCTCTCGAGGAGACAAAGATTCCAGGTCCCGGCACACCGCATCATCCTCCTCTGGAGAGGGCTTCTTGTTTAGGAGAGGAGCCTTCTCCAGCCTTGGGTTCCCTTCATCCTCAATGTGGTCCTCCATGTATGTGCTGGACTCAGCTCCACCCCCACCCTGAGCAGTCTGCAGGGGCCACACGTGGACCAGCCCCGTGCTCTGGATGAAGTTCTGCTCCTGCCGCTGTTGCTGCAGCTGCTGCTGCTGGAGAAAGCTGCTCTGAAGCAAAATGCTTTCCTGAAGGTTTGTCTGGGACTCATCGAAATTCTGGCCTAGGTAGGAGCCAGTTGCTGGGGAGGCGATGAGGGACTGGTCACTGGCCTCCCAGGCGTCGGAGGAACCTAAGCAGTACATGCCCTGCGAGACGTAGGAGTGAGGCCAGCTGTCATACTGCGTCTGGGCCATGTGCTCTGCAGGCAAAGGAGGCAAACAACACAGTTAGACACTCTCCCTAGGCCAGGCTGGCTCATCCAGGTAGCCTGTGTGCCTGAGCATGGCACTGTACTGCACAGGGTGGGTGAATCCTTTAGAGCCAAGGAGGGCAAGAGGAAACAGTTCTGGGCAATTGGCAGGTGATCTTGATGCCCACAACTGACTGCAAGAGCTGGTAGCTTTCCACAGTTGTGCTCCAAAAAAGCAAAAGGAACTGGTCTTTGAAAACTCTCTGCTAAGATTAGATACCTTGGAGACAGCTCCACAAACAGGGATGACTCTAGCAGATCTGACTGGGGCTATAGAATAAAACAGGGTAGAGCAAAAGAGAGCAACATGACAACCAGAGCAGGAAGCGGGTGTCTTAAGATTAGCAAGAAGCACTAGAGCTCACCTTGGCTCTCCATCAGCTCCTGATAGTTCTCAGAGTAGTTGCCTGCTGGGTTGTCCTGATTTGAGTTTACACTCACATCCTCACCATCCATGGAGGACCAAGCCATGAGAGTTGCTTCAGAAATAGCAAATTGCTCCATCACCCCTGTGCCAAAGGAGACAGGGAAGGGAAGCAAAGATGCATTAAAGTCTCCACTTCTCACCACCATCCTTTACCCCACCTTTTGGTCACACTGTCCCACTCGGGTCCTATCTAAGCAATACCCATCACCCGCAACTGGCCTTTAGCCTCTCCACTTTGCATTCCACCGGCAATATCCCAACCATCAAAGCCTCTCTCTACTTCAGCCACCTGAACCACCCACAGCCTTTCTTCCTGAGTGCATTTCTCAAGCTTCTGCATTTTGGAATCTCTCAGGGATTCGGCTCTGGGGGCACCCCACCCAATCCAACCCAGATGCCAGACAGAAGGCAAGGCCACCTGCGAGGAAGCGGGCCTCCTTCTCGCCGTCGCTGAGGTCCGAGTAGGCGTCGGCGTCCTTGCGCGCGGTCTCGTGCGTGTGCTGCTGCTGCTGGCTGTGCGCCTTGCCCCAGCCCTGCCACTCAATCATGTGAGCCACGCGGCCCTGGCCCATCGCCGTCGGCTTCGTCACGTGGTCCTTCATGCTGCGAGATATCCCTAAGGGGCCAGACGTTGGGAAACAAGGGAGGGCTATTACACAGCTCCGGCTCTTTCGGCCGTGCTTTTTACCTCTCTTAGAAGTGGAGCTTCTCCCCTGCTTTCCTGACAGGATGCGTCACTAGGGCTGGGTGTCTCCCACCTTTCACTGCATCTCTCTCCAGGGGAGTTTCTCCATCTTTCCTTGGAAAAACTCTCAGAAGGGGGAAAAAAGGGGGACCCCAAATATGAAAGACCATTTCCTTCCTTGCCTAGAATCCATTTAGGATACAGCTGGGCATGAAGGATGAAGCCTGGAAGTGAACAAACTAAGAAACAGAAAATGGGGTTAAACCCAAGACTTGAGGGGAAGCAATTGAAGATGTCTGAGCAGGGGTGCACAGTGAGAAGCCAACAGGAGTAAGACAAATCTGTTCTTTCAAAGGGCAACAAGTGTGAGATTTCTGTATTTAGAACCATGGTGGTGGACACTCCTCTAAGGCCATGAAAAGGCGAAAGCCAGAAAGGAGCAGTTGTGAGAGTGACAGAGAGATATGGGAAGAGGCACAAAGGCCTGTGGAGAGAAGCTGCCGAGGATAAAGTCAAATTTTGAGGACCTCACCAGAGAAAGATGATTTAGCCAAAGCCCCAATCCCATAAGCATTGGAGTTGCGTTTCAGCTTGGGAAGGATGGAGGTCGTATCTTCCATGGAGAGCTGAAAAGAGAGAGAATATGAAGAAATGATATACAGGAAGGAGAAAAGGAAGTGAATTGTAGTGAGAAAACAGTAGGTAGTTGGAAGATGAGGAGCAGAAGCAAGCAGTAAGAACAAAAGAAGGAAAGGAAAATTAGAGGCAATTTTACCAGGACTGGATATTGCACAGCAGTGGGACTGACTTAGGCAATGCCAGAGGGAGAGGCAGAAAGAGGCTGTGAGAAGCCTCCTGGTGGCAGCCACCAGTCCTCCAAAGACATGCTGCACCATTCCCAACTCTTTGTTAGAGATGCAAGACATGGCTGATGGACAGTTCAGGGATCTTGCAGTGGGAAGCTATCAGTGCAATAGGCAAGCCACAGTAATGTATCATATATATGCATCATACTGCCAAAGTTTTGGTCCTTTGGGGTTTTTTTTCTTCTTATATAGTCTTAATAAAATCATCATGACTATATCAGTGATGGTTCAAGCACCTACATCTGTAAAGAAATTTGGTCTACAGCTCTACAGCTCTGCTTAATTTTTTTGACTGTCATTTTTATGTTTATCCTCAGTCCCTGAATAACAAGGACAGGGCACTATTGGGACAGGCAGCCGTCACAAACATCATCACAAAAATAATCTCTCAAGATGAATTCATCAGACTTCTTCAGAGATGTCAGACATTGCACATGAGGCTTAACTTCCACAAGGGCTAAATAAACATTGCTTCTGCTCTTCATTTCAACCTCTCTGAAGATCAAGGCCAGAATGTTTCAAACACAAGGATACTCAAAAGTAGTGACTATAACATTGGAAATTTTAAATCCTGACTCAAAACAAGCACTTGGTCATAGGCGCAGACCTCACAAAAAGTGAGTGGAGCAGTAATTGTGCAGTGAAATAACTGGAGGCAAGGAAGGCATTGTGAAGATCTCACACTGTGTATAATTCCAGTCAGTTGCCAAAATTTGAGAGGTGAGATTTTCTGGAAACTGAGTGTAAATGCAGCAGCTAAGGCATCCTGTAACTGTGGAGGCAGGAACGTGACGTGTGTAACGTGAGATGAAGAAATCAGAAAGCAGAGGAAGAAAAGTAAAAAGCGAGAGCACAGCCCTTGTTCCATGAAGCATTTCCTTTGGTGATGAAGCTTGTTGGAGAAAGCCCATCTATGAGCCCCCACTGCTCATTCCTGCCTGGGTGCTCCTGCTCAGTATCCACCCACTCGTTCCAGGACAGCCTGGGGGCTGTGCTGTGAGCTGTCTCATGGAACCCCCCAAAAAAAGAAAGTAAATTGCAGAGGGTTCCTACTACTGCAAGGTTGAAGAGCTGTGACATGAAGGCAGGAATGAATGGGAAGGGAAGGAAATTCATGATCCAGCTTCGGTACCAAAGAAGATCTATGGAATTACACTGGGTAAGAGCTGCCTCATGAAAGAGGTCCATGGATTCTGTATGGGTTGGAAAATGGGAAACTGCAAGTAAGGAAACTGTCTTCTACTTTCTTTAAGGAAACACGACCTTGTGTACTTTGCTTTCTCACAGGTGCAGTGAGAAAAAAAAAAAAAGACTAATTTCTTCTAGACAGTTGCTGCATGCACCATTATTTTCCAACACAATTTGTTTCTGTAATTGATCCTAGGCAAAAGATCCCAAGCCATAAGTGCCCCAACGGAAGAGGTGAGAATCAGTTAAAAATTATATTCAATGTGCCACGTGCTGTCAAATCACAGTAAAGAAGAAAGCTACAGGTATTTTAAAAGTTTTGAAAGAATCTAGAATTTGAAAACACTTATACAACTCAAAATGGAGTTGCTATTCCTGTCCTTCCAACTGTACAAAACTATAAAGTTAACTTATGGGAAAATATTTTATAAACACACTTTAAAAAAGTCTAGTAGAACAAATATGCATTATTCCTTTTTCAGGATGCTGTTTCTGCATTAGTGAAAAAGAAAAAAATTTTTTTTTTCACGGCACAGGTATTAAGAGCAAAAGGAACACGTGCAATTAAAATGTTTCCTTGTTTCTCATCTGCTTTTCAACTGAAGTTAACTGGTACTCACCATCTACCCTAGGAGACATAAAGAATTCTGTTACTTCTGTGTGCAACTGAAAATGAGGGAGACATTTCTCCCAAACTTCTCCCTAGAGAAGATCAAATGATGCCCTAATCAAGGACTATGATTTTTTTTAAATATGCTGGACAGACACCTTTTTATGTAGCAGTGCCCAGAAATCTCAAAAACAGAACATATGAAATGGCACACATTTGTCCCCAGAAGTATGAAAGCAATTCAACAGCCACCTACAGAACAAAATACCTGCCAGACAGCAAAAGACTCAGAAGCAAACAAAAATCTATCACCATCCTCTGAATCAGAGACAACTCCCAGAATTTCAGTGGCACTAAGGACTTTCAGCCATGTTCCCATTCTGGCCTCCACTGTATCCAATGTCAGACAAATCCAGGTCTTCCTATGACTAGAAATTTGAAAAGTGACACAGTGCATACTCACATTGATACCATCCCAGGAGAAATCCGTCCGTGTTTGCTAAAGAAAACAGAGAAAGGCACCACATCAGTGTAACAAACAACTTGCAAGCAGCCAAGCAACTCCAGCAGTTTGTCACAACCAACAGGCACTACTTTATCTGGCGTGTTCTAAAAACTTGTGTCTTTCAAGATGGCTTCATTCCCTGCTGGTGAATATGGTGCCTGTAAGCATCACGGTGTTTAAAGGTGAAATAGTGAACGGAGTGACACAGTAGGAAAGAGAAAAGCACCTTTTCACAAGGCTCTCCTCCACAGCGTGGGTTGCACCACTTTGAGGCTAACACAAGGAGGAGCTACACCACCTTTGTATTTTGAGTGTCCTACAGCAAGCTACTCCATTCTGCTGAAATTATTTTTTCCCCGCAGTGTTTTGGTTTGTCCATTCTGACTCACTCGCCCCTTGTGAGCCAGAAGCATTTCCCACATCAGCCACCACAGCACCAACTCAGAGAGTGTTTCCTTCAGCTGGGAGGACTCATCTCAACATCCTGGGTTTGGGGATGGAGACACTCAGGAAAATTTAGATGACTCATGTTACACCTATGGTATCCATTCACATAAATCAAAATGTTCACTGAGGTGTGGTTTATGCTTGTTGACTTTTAGATCTGCTTTGATTTGACTGAATTCTCCATACAAGATTGGGCCAAACAATTTCCTGCCAGGACTCCATGGAACTCCAAGTGTCTTGAAGTTGCTTCCAAACCAGCAAGGTACACAAACAAAATAAAAATACTATACATATGTACATCTATTAACATTTTTCAAGGTTTTGCAAACTGTATGTTATTTGCTAAGCTTATTTGTGAACACTATTTGTGATTCTTCAAATATTATGCATTTAAAATAGAATTTATCTTTCTATTAATCATCATTGCATAATCTGAACCTTACAAAGCTGAAAATTCAGGTATGTAAGAATGCAGAAGCTGCAGTAATTCAATGAACCAGCCCTTAAAACACTGCATGGTAAGTCAATTGTCTGTGAGTTACTAGTGAATGCATCTCTAAAATCCAAAATGCAGACAAATGTGTTTCTTCAAAAGATTTCATGGCTATGCTGCAGAAGCTGGGACAGACACAGTGCTGGACTTTCCAATGTGAATCCCTAATTCAAGGAATGCAGACCTACAGCCTTGTCAGAACTGTCACTGTTTTCCTCATGTGCTCCACTCCCATCATGACTGGTTAAAAAACATTTCCATTTGCAAACTCTTACTCACTAGGGATCTTTTGAAGGGAGTGACTCAATTCTGCTCAGAGCAAGCCAAACTACCCAGGTATGATCCTCAGGAGCTCACTGGCATTCTGCCCCTCTCACAGATGATGCCTCAGTGATGCACAACACCCATTTCTCAACTCAGAATTCAAACTTTCTCATCCCCTTGCCTAATTGGCTCTGCGCCAGGCACTCACCTCAGTGGAAGGTCGATGGAAGCTGCTGCCATGCAGTGAACTCGTGCTGTCCATATTGATTTGGTCCACATCTTTCAGTCCCTTCCAGTCTACTGCAATCACCTCGTTTCCTGTGGGAACACATCTGGTCAGGCTTCTGAATGCCACCACAATTTGTTCTATCAGTGTTAAGCCAACTCAACTAAACAAGCAGGAGAATCATTGAGTTTAAGGCCACAACAGACTTAAATCAGATACTCCATTTGTAATCAGACCACCCGTACCTCTTCAGCTATTACATTTCTCACAGCTTTCTCCATATGAAACACAAGAAAACTTGTGTTTTTCTCAAGCATGATGTATGCTTGGCTAAAGCACAGATTCATCCAGTCATGATGTGTGACTGGGAAAGAACCAATTCCTTCAATATCCCCTCTCAATATTAAACCATCATCCCTTAAAAAGGCATTTCACTGTTATGGCTTGAATTGGTTGGACATCAGCTTAGAGTTGCTGGAGCCTTCGCCACCCTCAGCAAGATAAAAGACCTTCTGAATACCTGCCATTACATTTCACATTTTAAATATCAATTATCAATAAAATTTTATTAAGATTAAAAATTTAAATACTATTAAATTTTAAAAGTGAAACTAAATGCGAAGGAGCACATGTAGGTAGACAGGCAGGTAACCAGGAGTGCTCTGTGCAGTCAGCAATTTACTCTGTCTTCAGCCTGTGTGCCATCCTCAAACTCTGCTTGAAGTTATATGCTCCCATGTCATGGAGGAACCAATGTACTGTCTTTAAACCTGAGCCTCCTAGAATCTGTCAAGAAATGTAGCTGTCAAAATGATCATCTATTCCTGGGACCAATTCAGCAAGGTCTAGTCTGGTTGGATTTAATGTGAATGGTTCTACTTTCATGATCTTCTAACTTTTTTTTTTACTCTTTATAGCAAATTTCTTCTTCACAGACATATGCAAGGCCCCTTGCCCATTCTAGCAGCTCTGGCACATTTATAGAGTGCTCATCACTGCACTTCCCCAGTACAAATCTCCCGACAGGTGAGAGATGCTGCACTCCACCCCACACAGGCCTGCAGGAGCCATGGAGGCACTTCAGGGTGGGGAAACCTGAGGCATTCATCAGCTAGAATTCAAAATGCAAAAAACCCCTGATTTTGTCTCCTAAAAAGGCTAAACATGGCAATATGAAAAACAGCAGAAAGACAACGCTGTTTGCTTATTGTGGTGTCCACCATACCGTCACATCTCAAACTTCTGCTGTGCAGGAAGGTCCGTTTCTGAGAGAGCTAAGGGATATTTTTTCCTTCACATCCAAAGTACATTTCTGCTCATCAGAACCAAGTGCTTTAACAGCATCCTCCATATGCTTCTAATTAGGCTGAGTAAAGCTGCTGCTCTCTGAGTTGCAGTTCCTCAAAAGAACTCAAAAGAAAAAGGATTCCTGTACTGTGTGTTACAAAGGTGAGCACAGAGGTCAGACACAGCCAGATCTCTGGAGAAGACAGGACATGGCTATGACAAGCATGACCAAAACCACCTTTCAGGGCTGTGAGCCTCTTAACTGGTTTTCCTGACAAGCACATCCATGTACTGGGCCTCAGTGAGCTCTTGATGACTGCACTGCCACGGACTGGACTGGCAACCTTGAGTCCAGCAAAGCAAGAGAGGGAGGTCTGGGGATTTCTGAACTCAAGCAAGAGGAGCAAGGCTTAATGGGCCGCTTGTGAGTTGCCTGTTGCCATCACGACTGGGAACCTCTTATATCTGGGGTCCAAGTAAACCTCCTAGAGCTGGAAGTCTCTCTTATGGCAAAGGGAAGTTCCAGGCAGAGCTGTGAAAGCCCAGCTGACAGACCCACGCACCACCTGGGTGTAAGGTCTGGCTTAGAATGGAACACATTTGTTCTGAGGCCCCCTGAACAGGGAAGGAGTAAAGGGAAGAGGGAGGGAGTGCTGCCAGGAAGTGCAAATCTAGAGAGGAAGGAGTGGAGGGATGGACTGTGATCAGGGTGGACTGAGGGTCCAACAGAGGTCAGTGGGAGGATGAAACCGGTGCAAAGAGCACAGCAGGAGCCTGCCCCTGCACACTGGGATCCAGCTGCCTTATCCTGTCTGTGCTCCTTCCCTCCACCTGCAACCCCGAACACTGGAAGGGGAGAGCTGGGGCATTCCTGCCACAGAGCTGAATAAGACAGGGATGCTGGAGAAGCAGGAGAGACGTCACCTCTCCTGAGCAGAAGGCAGCTGTACAGAACCCTTCAGTGCAGGTAACAGTGTCACTGTTTTATCTCCGTTTACCCGAGGTCTTTCCTGTCCTGTCAGCTCTTCCTGAGCACAGTGCTGTGGCGCTTGTGTAAGTCTGGAGCCACCCTGGCACACACTGCAAGCAGGCTGCAGCACCATTCTGGGCATGCACTGCAAAGGCACCTCCACCCCAGCCAAAGACAGGGGAGCCTCTTGCTCAGCACAGGTCACTTGACAGCCCCAAAGTTCAGCAAATGACTTTGCTCTCAATGCTGCAAGCCCACTGATGGTTTTCTTGAAGTGTTGGAATGCGGAAAATATTCATGGAACGGCACAATGGTTTGGGTTGGGAGGAACCTTAAAAATCATCTAGTTTCACCCAGCTGCCACAGACAAGGACGCCTTCCATTAGACCAGGTTGCTCAAAACCCCATCCAACCTGGCCTTGAACACTCCCAGGGATGGGACAGCTCTACTGGGCAACCTGTGCCAGTGCCTCACCACCCTCACAGTAAAGAATTTCTTCTTATTATTGAATTTAAACCAACCCTCTTCCATTCTGAAGCCACTTCCCCTGGCACCATCCCTCCATGCCCTTGTAAAATGTCCCTCTCCAGCATTCAGGCCCCCTTTAGGCCATAGAAGGTGCTGTAAGGTCTCCCAGGAGCTTTGTCTTGTCCAGTATTAGTACTATTCTGCCAGATGGTAGCATCAAATGGTTGAAGAACATCAAACAATTATTTGTCTCAAAGTCCACACCTGTTCTCATAGCAGAACTGAAGACCTACAGAATTTATTTACTACTGTTTCTCTCCCATTGAAACAGCTCATCAACCTAGTTCAGAGAAAAAGAATGAGTAATAGGTGATTCTGCATGCTCTATAGAGACTGAATAATTTTTGAAAATAAATGTCTAAACAGTTTCACAGGTACTAAGAGAGAAATATATTGAGAGAAAATAACTCTTTAACATCTGTTACATGGCTTTAAATGCAGTCGTATCTGCTGAAAAGTTACAGCATCACGCACTGGTTGAAAAGAAAATGCCTAACTGATGTTGGGCCTGGGGCAACATTACTTTCTCTTATTGAAAGTTGGATAAAGGTTAGTGGGTTTGTTTGGGGTTTTTTTTGTCTCCTGCTAGAAATAGCAAGAGCAACATTAACCCATGTTAGATCAAGACACGAAAAAACAAGTTCTGGTCTGACAGACAGAAGGAAAGAAACATGGAAAATCAGGAAAAAAAGTAAGGAGAGTGAAGTGGGAAAGCAGAAACTGAAAGCAGTACTTTGTAAATTAGTATTCTTTTTATCCAGTCTCTTGTCAACCTCTTTCTCCCCACAATTAGTGCAGAGTTTTTTTCTTTTCTAATGCTATGTTTCTTCTCCAGTATAATTTCTCTTATCCATCTCCCATTCCAGCTTCTGCTAGTCATCATGACTATTCCATTTGTAATTCTATGATCAATCACCTCTTACAGAATAGTATTTGCTCTTTCCATATAGAGCTGATAAGAATTTTAAAATGAGTGGGTCGTAAAGCTGATTTTAAAGTGGAATTTTTACAAACATGCTATCATTCTCCTTCAGATGTTCTGAAATGAGATGATGAAAGTTGAAAGATAACGGGGTTTCTGACCTTGTCATTGTTTCTGTATAGAAAGGATATAGAGGGGATTCATTTCCATTGAACTTTTAAAAGTTGTCTTCGTTTTATTTAAAAACTTGTTATTTGGTTTGGGGTTTTTTGACATCACAGATTTCATCCCTGCTTTGGAAGACTCAGTAGATGGCTGAAGAAAAAGCAGGAAGCTGATTACATGAAGCAGAGAAGGAACATGAAAGCTGTCAAAATACATTAAGCCACATTATTTCAGATCATGGCTGCTTTGTATTTTTTAACACAAATTAAATAAAAACAAAGTCTGCAAAAACACTCGTAAGAAAAAGATGTCTCCATTACAACTGATGTAACATTCCAACTCAAGTCATTTAAGCCTTTGGGGGAAAATATCATCCATCTTTCTCTTACAGTATTGTTAAGGTAAAAATCAAAATTTATTTTTAAGTCAAGCCTTTCTAAATAATAAAGACAAAAAACATTTAAAGAGGAAAAAAAATGTGGGGGAAAGAAAATATCCTTTTCCCCATCTCTTGCTTTATTCTGGGTTTTTTGAGCATCATAACTTTGGGCTCTCAGGAACCAGGGAATATGTGTAGTAAGCATTCCCAAGCAAAGTGAACATTTGATGAACGCACTGGAAAAAATACAAAAATCACCTGGATGACTGCACCTCACCTTGCTGATCTATTACTACTACATTTTACTATTTCTGTGGCACGTTTTGCCACATACCTTAATTTACCATGAAGACGCTGAGTTTCTTACTTGGCCATAATTTCAGTTTCTTTGCATTCTATGATCATAAGAAATTCACCTTGTTTTGAATGACTCAAAACTTAATCTAAACAAGCCCATTCTCCTTGGGTTTCCTCTTGACATTTTCTCAATTGCTGTTTCCACTGTGCATTAATTGATTCTATATTTGGTACCTGTGCCTGCATTTTGTTCATTTACCAAGGTCCATGCTTGAATCAGGCTTCTGCATCTATGACTTTAATCTGCATCTACAGCCTTTAATAATCTGTTGTGTTGTAACTTCTGTGTTGGATGTTAAACAGCATCTCCAACTTGTCTCCTCTATTTTATGCCACACCAAATAGATTAACAGAGTTTGAGAGTCTTAAATTTTCTTCTTCCCTTCCGAACATCATGCTGGTGAAGATCTACACCATATACCAAATAAGTATTATTGTGTTATTTGCTTTCTGATGTGTCATGCCAATTAATACAAGAAACAT